AAGTAATGGTGAAGTATTTTGTCAGCAGCCCAGTAGTTTAACATTCCTTTGCTGTGTTCTAGGTATGCATGGACAATTGCCGAATGTCGGTATTGCCAGAAGCATATGGGTTGGAAATTTACAGCCACGCAGAAGCTTATGAAACCCCAGAAATTTTGGGGGATATGCCGAAGATCGATCGTGACAAAACTTTTAACAGAAGAGGATTTGAAACCAATAATCTGAGGCAGAGATACTGTATTTGCTGAATATGTTCAGGTACATGTACTTTTTTGTATTTACATACTGAGTTGTGTACTTCTGTTTCCTGTATGTTACTTTCTAGAACAAATTTCATTTTGTTTTTTGTAATTTTCATAATTTGTTTATGGTATAAGTTGCTCGTTCTTGGTCTACTTAATTTTTCTGTTCTTACCCGTGTACCACATGTCATCTGCTGTAAAACAAAAATGTCTACTTTTTTTTTTATTTTAAACAGCTTATCTAATTGGGTAAAGTTGTAGGCTCTTGTATGCATTGTATTGACCTTTTGTGTCCTGTAAAAGACGGGCAATGCCAAGACCAGCTGGGAAATTATATTTGAAGAAGACTTCTATTAATACACAGGCAAAGATAAATGTTTTCATTTGATAGGCCAGTTTGACTCTTGGGGAAAGGCCTTTCTCTGAGGACTTAAAATTTCTCTTGCCAGTTATCCTGATACTGTCCTTGCCCCTGATTTTTAATATGGTGCTGTCAGTTGACATCACGCAACCTTAGTTTCCTGGTGTGGTTCTTGATCTTGATCTACTCGGTATTGTGCATGTATGTAGCTTGAGTTTAATGTAGTAACTGTAGTAGATATTCCTGCTTTTGTATTTTGAAAGTTGGCAGACATACAGACAAAGTTTCTGCTTTTGTAATTTGAAAGTTGGCAGACATACAGACAAATGGATTTTGAAGGAAAATAAACTCTGCATTAATGTGCCCTCCTATTTGTGTTTTTTATTACAGTAAAATACTGCTGAGGGGGTCCATATTGACTGCAAAATTAAATGTTGGTTCTGAGGACCCTTGTGTAAGACTGTGACTTGTATATAACTATTCACACGACATGTAATAAATAAAATGTACATGCTGTAACTGTTAATGTAACTGTTTAATTTAGGAATTAAAATGTAATTCTTTTCAACATCATTTTAATGTTTTTATGTTTGATTACAGTTGTTTACATTCCTAGTTGTCTTCTGAAAGTACTTTTTTTGTATGAAGCCAAGGCAGCAGTAAAGGCTAAAGTACATACATACTTCGGCAATCGCGACAGCTCATGGTGGTTGCTAGTGTTGATGGTAGGGAGACCTATTTATTTTTAGCAGGCTCTTCTCTGTGATTGACACAAAGTCTACTCTTTCGTCATTGTGTCAACAAGATGGTTGTGGATAGCCCAGTTTTTGCCAAAGGGGCAACAGGACATAATTTGAATATTGTAGGGTCACAAGAGTTAATTATAGAACTCGAGAATAGGCAGGAACTGAGCCACTCATTCAGTCTGTCTTCCAAAAATGAGGGCAGAGGAGATTGATGGAATTCTGAAATTCGATTTCTTATTGATGAATAGGGTCAATGTTGACTTTCAAAAGTTAACCACGCCCGGAAGAATGAAACTGATGGGGAAGTCCGTTCATCGCTAAAAGATAGGCGATAACGAAATTGGCCTGGTCAATCACAAAGATTCATTTTGACAATGTTACAGAACAGGCTTTAAAACCTGCCCTTACAAGGCAGAAGGATAAGGAATGCGTACCATAGACAACAGTTCTCGGGTTGCGAGCGCTGCCTGTGGAGTGTAATTGTAATCGTGTGCGTCTGTAGTTGCACGAACGCATCTGTGATCGGCTTGGGTGGTCAAGTCGTACATTGCACTTGAGCCAAAGAGGCCGATTTTGTGATTAAAGCGTAACAAATTATTTATTGTTTTGAGGATTTTGTGCAACTTCATATTTTGCTAAGTAACATATTTGTTTTACTGGTATTGTAATTAGAACTTAGTTTAATATTTACAGTTTATTATGTATCTGAAATGAATGAAGGAATGTGGCATAGTATATCCACAACCTTTGCAATTTCATGAATGGTGAGGACTTTCTACAGCATACGAGTAAAAGTGAGTGATTCGTTGGGTTATATCAGGTACAACGTGCGTGAATGTAATTTTAAAATACTAATTTATATCAGGGGTGTTTCTTTTCGCTTCACAATCTTGTGCAGTCGAACAGAACATAACCCCATTAAGAGGAAGAAGTCTCGTATAGACTTGAACCACTTAACCTGAATTAAATGTAACTAAGATTTCCATCTTTTCACCCAGCAATATTATTAAGTAATTCCATGCAGTAAATTCCCTCGGGAGAAGTTGATAGTCCCGTTGTAAAGAAAGTATTGTTTGTAGAACCCAAAAGTCTATGAGCAAGTTCACAAGAGACCTGCACTGTATCTTGTCTAGAGCTAGAGAAATGTTCGGTGCAACCTGTTTGCTGCAGATCCATCTTAATATTATCCCATCTGTGCCTGGGTCTCTTGGTTCTCCAATTTTTACTAACCTTTAGGTGCTATAAATTTTAATAACACTCCAATTTTTGTTTTTGTATGGTGAGGGATTGTCAGCCCTGCCCAACATTTAAGCTGAAGAACGAAAACCTTTCCTGTTGCCTCAGACAGATTCACACCCACCCTCCATATGTGACGGCTGTTTCCTTCCACAACCTCTGGGATATAATGGGCTACTTTGTCAAAGGGGACAGTGGCTAATAGCATTTCAGTTAGTTGGAAAACATGGACGTGGACAGAAATTTTTTACCTGTTGGATCTAAGAGCACGGAATATTTATATTATTCCAGTACTTGGTGGTTGATATGTCTGTAGTTCACAATTTGATGGATATGAGTTGATGGAGAAGACTGGGCCTGTTGTGCCCAAGAGTAATGAGAGCATTTCTTGCCAGCAGTCATATGATAACGCTGTCATGCCTGTAAAATGTGTCGTAAAGTATAGGTTTGGCTCCACACATTCTTAGTCTTGCCACTAAAAGGAGGTGAGTGCTTAGCTTAATGTTGATTTGATTCTTTATTCTCCTGGGAAAAAAAAACCTCCAGTTGCTGTTGAATAGGAGACCACGTGGGCTCCAGAGCCAGTCTGGACACAATGACAGTGAATATGAAAATTCCTGCTTCCAGCAGTAATTGGAACAACAGTCGTCCAGTCTGTTTGGCTGTGACACTACAAGCTGACTGTTGTTGTTGTTGATAAGTATTAATTTTTCTTTTCTTAATTTTTTCAGAATTTTACAATTTGGATCATCCCCAGTTGTGATCTGTTGTTTGGTGAAACGATTTTGTTTTCGTAGAAGTTTGTACTTGATACAGAATACAGTAATGAAATAACAGTCAGCCATCTCGGATATCGTTGTTATGCTGAATTACTGGTAAGTAAATGCAATTCTCATGTCATTCTAAATTAACTTCTACGTTTATTTTGTTGAATTCGCATCAGATTCAAAAAATAATGAGGACTGTGTGTGTGGGCCTTTATAGAATGAGTGTTCGAAGTAACAAAGTAACATTGCAAGCTGACAAGAGATACCTTACGCTTCTTTTGTAGAATGTTTACTAGTAATGCCTTTATGTGGACATTATTCAAATTCATGTAGATGAGATCTGTCGTTAACAATTTGGCAGACCTAGTTTCAGATTGTGAAAACTCTTACATACGAGTGCCTGCTCATTTCTTTATAAGATTTGTGGGAACTGTTGGTAAGCACGGTTCGCTACTTGTTATAATCCAGAATGCGACATAACTTAACCGACTCCGCGGAGCAGTTTTTGGAGAAAATGAGAGTCGCTCGGCAGAATTTCTTGAGGGAATTACAAAGCCTGCCGCCGAACACTGTACTGAGCTCGATGTATCCGTTTCACATCCTTACGCCCCATTTCCTTAAGATCCTTCCGTATAAACACCCAGATTTCCCAAGTCGTCTCTTCACTTCAGGTTTTCCAGCTGAATTTTGGTATCCATTGCTCATCTGTTTCATGGATGCTACGCGTTCTCCCATCTCATCCTCGGTTGGATCAGTAATAATATTTAATAAGCAGTACAGAACATGATTTTCAGCTTTTATGAATGTGGTAATGCACCTTTAGGTTCTTGAAAAGGCAGGAGTTTCTAGATTAGCTGAGCGACTATCACCTTCTCCAGATGCACTGCCATGGAGTTAGTCTGTTAAGAAACGGTGATTCAAATATTTAATCACACTTTGTCTTATTTCTTTCCTGCAGTGGAAATAATTGTGGCAAGAACTGAGATTCATGTGATTGCTGTTGTTTTGTTATTATCATCAGAATTGTTATTTTCAGGGTTTATGTTTCATGAAAACCATGGAAGTGAATGTCCAACAACCGCAAAAGAAGAAGCAGAAGTTAAAGGATGCGCCGGTTACGGTGTATAGAATAATAGAAGTTCCTCCTCACATAGAAGGTGTTACAAAAACAGCCACAATCCAACTCATCCCAAAATGTGAATTCGATGATGAAACTTTGGATCTGGGTAGTTCCGACGATCCGGATAAAGTTAATGTCACGGTTACAACGTCGTTTGTGATCGACGAAGATAACGTGGTGAAGCAACATTCCACTTCTCAAGTAATTCGTCTCCCAGTTGCCATCCAACGTGGCCAGCAGCATAATGTATTGAATGAAGCTTTTGAGGCAGATGGCAGCAGCGGCAGCAACGACCTGTTAGATCGGAACTTTCCGTGCGCGATATGTTTGAAAACCTTCAAACACAGTAGTCATTTAAAACGACATATCAACACTCATACGGGGGAGCGCATTTATAAGTGTGATTTATGCGACAAAACATTCCTCGATGCCTCAACCCTCTCCCGCCATCGGAAGATTCATTCTGGCGACAAACCTTGGTCTTGTAAGATCTGCAAGAAGAGTTTTGGCACCCTCGGCTCTCTGCGTCGTCATATAACTGTTCATAATCAAGAAGGAAGACCTTACCAGTGCGAAACGTGTAAGAAGCGTTTTCCAGACAATAGCAGTTACCAGAAACATAAATTTATTCACACTGGAATAAAACCGTACGGTTGTGACATTTGTGGCAAGGCTTTTGTTCACATCGGAGATCTGAATGGTCATCGCAAGATTCACGTCGAAGTGAAGCCTTTTAATTGCGAACGGTGCGGGAAAGACTTTGCGAAACACAGTAACTACGCTCGACATCTGCTTATTCACGAGGGAGACAAGGAATTCTTGTGTACGATCTGCGGCGTAAGTTACAATTTTCAGAGTTCTCTCACTCGTCATCTGCTCACTCACGTCCGGAGGGGCAACAAAGCTTCCGCAGAGGCCGATTCCATCGACGATGAAGACGCAGATTCGGTTTCTCAGGGCGAAAAATCTTCTGTAGAAGCAGACGAACTTGCCGTAGAAACACCGAAGAAGAAAGGCGTTTCAAGTGTTGGTCAGATCAAGGTGACTAGAACCAAAATGAAGCAGCTGAAGAAAATCAAACAATTACACAGGCTTCATGACCGGACCCAGAATGAGAGACCTGATAAATTGCCACCGTCACCAGTGGCAAATGAGCCGCGACCTCGGAAGGCTCCTGGTTCAGTACCCGCAGCCCCAGTTACCAGAAACCTAACAGTTACAAACTTGACTGATCCTACAGTTCTGCCACCTCAGGACGAGTTTATTTCCAAACAAACCACAACTGAAGATGTCACGACATTGCTCACTTCAGTCGAGGACTTCGGTTCTACGAAGGACATTCCGCAGGCCCTGTTGCAACTGACGCCCAAGTCAGTTTGTGGCACGTCGGCAGAATCACTTATATCCCTGTTGTCAGACTCGAATGAAGGTGAATATCTGTTGGCCACGACTGACTGCGGCGAAATAGTGTCGGAAGTTCAGACGTCGGGGAATAATGGCTCTGAATCTGAGTCTGTCATTACCATAATATCTATATCAGATGATCCCGTAATGAGCGTCGACAGTATAGCGCAAGACGCTTCTGTGGGCGACGGCGCAGACGTCGCAGTGGCCATGTTGGAATCCGCCGAAGTAGGCGACGTGATTGCTGAGACTGTGATTTCAGACGTTTGCCGCGAGAGTCCCAATAGCAGAGCCGATGACAGGAAAGCGGCTTCAAATAGGGGGAGGTCGAAACACGTGTTGGTTAAAGTGTCGGATCTTAAAGGAGAAGAGACGTTGGTCTTAAGGAGAAGGGCGAGTTTGATGGTGTCAAAAGGCGAAGAGAGGGAGCCACTTGGGCCCAAACAGGGCTTATAAGCAGATGTGACATCTGTATCTAACGAGTTATCGTGAATTGAGACGTTAGAAGCTCCCGTTCTCTAATCTTAAAACATGACTTAAGTGAGGAAAGATGAATTTTTGCTTTTTAATTTCAGTTACAAAAAATTAGTATACGGATGACAACGCTAATGCGCTAAAACAAATTCTTGGTCCATTCACATATCCGCATGTTGGCGTCATTGATGGTTTGAGCATAAAAGGAGGAGTCTGTTACTGAACAGGTTTTACTATGTAATTGTGGTAATATTCGTCGTAGATGGTCGCATTCGCAGGTCGTGCTGATATTGTTTGTAGTCTTAGTGCAGAATAAGATTATCTTCCACGCCCACTTGTTCATCTTATTTCTTACAATTTATATATTAATGTATTATGAGATTCGGTGATCGCCTTTTGTCGCCTGCTCAAAGCTGAAGTAAGGGACGGGTTCCGGTGCCATCGGTGGTCACCCCAGTTCGGTGTCGTCAGAAATAACATACGCAGAACAAATTAAATTCCTGGTAAGAACAACAACAAATATATAAAAAATTAGACAACGCGAGTAACCTCGTAATTCAGCGTATTTACGGCCATAAAGGGAAAACAGTTTGTTATTGGCCACTTAAGCGAATTTCCATGTTTGCGATAAAATAAAATATGTAGATTTTATTGAAATTATTTCCCTGTTTACAAAAGGTATCGATTAATCTTAAATATTTCCCTGAACTGAGGTCTACGCAAATTTTCAGCTGTTGGACCTGCCACCAGCGAGAGGCGAAGTGTCGTTAGTTTCGATGCTCGTGTCAAGATTGTTGTGTTCCGAGTATGTACAATAAATTCATATCGCTGTCATAATTTTATTCAACCTGCGCTCCTGAATGTTTTCATCTTTGCAGCAGATTAGACAGAGAAATGTGTACCATCTTTTAAAAGTGAATGTGTTTGGTGCGCATGATTCACTGTACAAATACTGATAATGGCGGCAAAGCTTGTATCCATGTTTGATTCTTATCTTGCAAAAAATGTCACCTAATTACATCCACAAATTGTGTACCAGACAAATTCCTTCAGGATTGTTCAGCCGATAAACGTTTTCTGCTGTCTGCCTTTCTGAAAGTACCCACCACATATAAAACTGTGAAGAGATCTTCATTTTCAGTAGAAAGAAAATCCTTTATTCTTTTGAATTTCTTGGTTAGGTTAGGTTGATGCAACATTACGTCATCGTTACTGGAAAACCGGGAATCCTTTTTTAAAAGTACTCTGCTTTATAGAAACTTAAGAAAAAGTTCTGCCATACTCTGAACTCTTACCTTAATCGAGCAATTTTTAACTCTCAAAGGTTGCCCCTTTTTTTATATTTCTCCGTTTATAGCCTTTGCAACTTAAACCCAAATGATTACAATTCCAAGATGGCTGTAATCAGATCGCTCTTGATTACGTCGAAACACAAAGCAAAGCAGGACAGTGTGTACTTAAACTCTCTCGAGACACTTCACACTTTGCACCCTCATATTTTATCACGTAAAACTTGTTTTATCTGAATATTCATGATTAGACATAAAACTTCAGTCATAGACATGATTTCTCATCACGTGTGTCTAGCTGGATATTGTAGGGTCCGGTGAACTGCGGACCACATATTGCCGATCGTAGACAGGCACGTTGGTGCCGTTTTAACAGGTGTCCACCGGTTGTCCTTAGGATTGTTATGGTGCACTGAACACGCAAGGAAAAATATGAGCTTTTTGCGTACGTAGATAATAACTAAATTATGGTCGTCATACTTCGAGAGTGGGGAGGGGGCCTTCGGATCTTGGTTTAGATATTTCTGTCCATACAGTGGCTTTTAATAAAAATGCACGCAGGCTAACGAGTAGCATTTATCTTATCAGAAAGAACAATTGTTCCATAAACAAACGTCTCCAAGCGGCGTGACTATACAAGTCTCAAAAGGATCCACCCATTTAGTCTGTGAATAAATTTATCAGGTATTAGATATCAGAAGTTATCCGTCATTGAACGTCTAGGTCGAGTTGTTAAAATTCATGATTTGTGTGCAGAATGTCTTGAGTTGAATTCTTGAAACACATGTTTTTAGCACGGGGAAATGCTGTGACGATGCCTTAAGATTCGTTTGCATCCATATCTCTGAAATTCATCAGTTACACGGATTCCAAGGGACAGACTTATTTATAACCTGTCTAGCTGATAATTCTTTAAGCAAACAAAAATACAAGAGATCTTTAAGTATAATCTGATGTATAAAATTGTTTTTTTTCTAATATCTGTGTTGATGAATCTCCAATGTTTACAAATAAGTTCCATCCTCACGACATTCTGCAGACCCAGAAACCAACCACCCCGAAAGTCCGACCTTCAAGTGTCCCAGCGCCACTGTAGCAGTCAGTGACAACAGCGCCACCAGACCGACTCAGTTCCATAAGTTACCTTTATTAACCTGACAGTAATTTAAATTCAAGCCATATCTCGTATTGTACTGTAACAAAGCGTCTGATTAACCCTGTGGGTCTGCTTATTGTTTACAGAACATTATATGAACTACGTATTTGGTTCACAGTTTCTCATTTTGCTTTTTTCTTAAGTCAGACATAAACACGATTTGCGCAAAGAACGTAACTTCCATAGTCAGGTCTAGGGAGAGAAAAAACAGGTTTGGCTGCGTCATTATCATCTCCGTCTTTCGCCTTGTCCGCCGGTCTGACTCACCAGCTCCTAGCACCACGACACTCAGTAAAGCAACTGGTAGCGGGCAGTCAAGACGTGAAACGAAAGGCTTCTGTCATATTGTTGCAGATCTCAAGATGGAATCCTTTGTGTGGATTATTGTGTCAGCGCTGAGTATCTTCCATGTCGCATTGGTAAGAGTTTATTTATTCATTGTGCTCCAAAGTCGCTGGGTTTGCCTTTAGGGTTTCGAGATGACAATTACAGCACCTTTCCAAGTTATCCAGACCGAATAATGGAAAAGTACTCCGTGCTTTCAAAAATGTTCACGATATTTTAGCAAGATACTAAGACGCAGTCAAATATTTAACAATGTGAAACGATGTAATTTTGAAGATATCAGACGCTGTGGGATGACGACAATGTACTTAGCCCGTAGAGTTCTGTGGGGACATTTGTTACGGGTTTTAAGTATAACATAATTTGAGCCTTAGTAATCATGGATTACTCAGACATTCAGATAGGAACATTCACATTTTTCAGGCACCGGTGGGTAGAATTTAGCAT